AGCGACCAGCCAGGGCAAGAGAGAGTAAGTTCTTATAAAAGCACTCTTATGTCATGAAATGGAGGACTAGATTAATTTAGAAAACAATTTAGACAGGTTATAAAGGCATTTGGTCACCACATCCTACAAAATTAGAATGAGAGAACATGTCTTAAAGGCTAAGGTTAGAAAAACAAAAAGACATGTTACTTCGCTTACTACATAACTGCATTGTAAAAAGTCATTACCATCCCTTTCTTCACCAAAAATATACATAATTTCAGATAATACACAAATTCAGAAAGAAAAGAACTCCATTCATTATACAGACATAGGTTTTTATTGAAATGCTGTGAATTCATGTAAAACTGCCCTCATGGAGAACAAAAATGCCTTTTCCTTATTAAAGCTTCTCAAGATGTTTCTGAGTTGCATGTTTAAAAAGGAGCTTCAGATCCTGATCAGTCCACCCCCTTCACTCTGCAAGTCTTCCCCATCTACATCAATGGAGTTGCATAGGCCAAACCTTGCAACCATCTTTAATTAGTCTCATTTGCTCGTACACCACAACCATCAGGAAATCCAGCAGGCTCTGCCTTCGGAATCCCACTGCTCACCACCTCCACCACCAACACAACTGAGACCTTGACCCAACAGGCCACCATCATCTTACTCTCCTGAGTAGTATCTTTTCTTCTCCCATCTATACTCAACAAAACAGCCAAAGGGACCTTTTAAAGCCAAAATATCCTGTTTCTCCCATGTTTAAAACCCTCCCCACTCCCTGGCTTCCCATCTTGGGAAGCAAAATGAAATTCTGACTGTGTTCCCTGAAGCTATCAGATGGAAGTGTCTCCCCTGTTCCGTCCTTCCCACCCCTGCCTACTCCCACCACTGGAGTCCTGCCGGGCTCCTGACTCTTCTGGGTTCGTGTTTGTTGCTGTTGGGCTAACTCCAGGCTTATGGCTTCCACACTCCCTACCCTCTGTCTTCCCCTAACTCTTATCTGCAAGGCTCACCTGCTCAGATCTTCATTTTCCACTCCATGCCCCCCTCTCCTGAAGGCAGGTGTTTGTCTTCATTAGCACCCCAGCTCCTGACAACTGTCTGACACACAGTAAGAGCTCAGTAATTATATGTAGAATCACTGAGTGACCAAATAGTTTTGCTTACCAAGTTGATAAAACCCAGAAAGAGGTAAGATTTTTAAGTCTAGAACGAAAGCTAAGCATATGAAGAGGGCAGTCCTCTTCCATTGGGCTCACTGGGTAGCAGTAGTTCTTCATGGAGGAGGGAACCAGGCAGGCAGGCAGTCACAAGTCCAACTGCCACAAGAGGACCCACCCACATTCCATCGTGCATAAAAGTCAATGTTGTAGGACTCAGTGTGGCCCACCAACGCCCCAAGCCAGGCCTGCTATCGTTAGTTCAAACTGTAAATGTTGCTCCAGCCAAAAGGACATTTCCAAGGTCTTTCAAATGTCAAGGCTTGAACTTTTACATCACGGTTAATTTTCAGTTATGCCATTTTTAATTAAGCACATGGATCACGCCCATATTTGTAACATATAACAAAATATTTATGAAAATGTAACACAATATTTATGTTGTATGTTACAAGGCTCAAGAATCTCTTTCCTTTACTTTATCTAGTGTTAAGGAAAGTAGCAGCTAACTATGAACCAGGCACTGTTTTGTGGCCTCTGCGTGATCATCCCACTTAATCCTTCCAGTGAAGTGAGAGCTGCTACGAAGTTCAATTTACAGACAGTTAAATACCTTCTCCAAGACACTGCTAATGAGGGGCAGAGCCGGGACGTGAACCCAGGCAGGCTGGCCCCAGAGCCCGGAGTTTCAAGGTGTCACCATATCATAGTGCCTCTTGGTTCTGCCTCTCCAACACCAGTGGCATTTAGAGTCAACAAAACAAGACCCTGCATGATGAATGCCACACATTTATTCATACAAGACATTAAAAAAAAAAAAAAACAAAAAATACTTCACAAATAAACTAGAGTTAAAAGGTCCAATAAGAAAAGTATCTTTGACATTAATATTTGTCAAAATATTAGCAAAAATGAGTACAAAGCAAACAAAATAGTGTTTTCTTAAAATGACAGGAAAGTCAAGGGAGAACAGTAAGAAGAGACAAAATGCAGTATTCTTGGAAAAACTGCTTTGCAAAAGTAAACATTAAGAAATCTGCTTGAACATGAACAGGTAAATAAAGTCTTACAAATATAGCTACTCATAAAGTGGTTTCCTTTGCAAACATTTGACTGTGTACAAGTCAGAACAACTAATGTTAGCGTATTTCTTTAAATCTTAATGTTTCGAGAAGAAAATATGATAAAAAAATAGAAAACACGATTCAGTAAATATTTGAGAGGCTCTAATTAAGAGTAGGAGAAATTCTTTTATCTGGCATCTAATGAATGTTTTCCAGATCAAGAGGGATAATGAAAGGAGGAATTTTAGATTAACAGATAACTTTCAAAAAGATTAATTCCCTACTATCTCAGCTTCCCCAAAGACCAAATAAAATAGATAAGGCAAGGTTAAAAATCAATCACTTTCTATAAATATCCTTACTCATATATATAGTCCTTTACACCTTTCAAATGGCATATACATGAGTTCATCTTATTAAACTAAAGTTTGCTTAAATAACTCAAAGTGCATATTATTTTGAAGAGACAAAATTTTGCAATGAGCAAAGTTAGATTTCTGTGCTCCCCCAGAAACTTTTAAGTATGTGGGGTGGGGGTAGGGAGGGGTAGGGTTCAGAATCTAACATTTTCCTCTTTTTAAGAGTTTTGTTTATTTTGGTTTGGTTTTGGCCTTTGAGGAGCTTCTTAAAATAGGCATCAACTATCAGCCCTGTATCTCTAAGCAGCTTCCCACTGACTGACCAAACCATCTGAGCTGGTGCTGTCCGTTCCCTCCTCCACCACCATCTTTGGCCAGTCACATCCTGACCCCATCCACCCTCAAATCACTCCTCCCTCCTTCCAACCCCTCCCACCCACCTCCACTATCTCAACCCTTCCAGGCTAAACAGGGTACCTCCCAAAGTAACATTAAGCTTATCTGATAAAATATTCCAGGCTTAAGGGGAAAAGCTAACAAGGACTGGCTCTCCTCCCTCCTCTCTGCCTTTCCTCCCAGCCTTCAAACCAGGACTCCCAACTTCTCCAGCCCATATAAATAACTGTCCCTAGGACTCCAATTCAGTGGTGAAGGAGAATTTGGGGTGGGTATGGACAAGCAATATGGCAGCCAGCAGGGAGGGACTGGGGATCCACCTGCTGCTGCCCAGCAGAAGCACTCAGTGTGAGAACAGCTCCCCCTCTGGATCCTCCTTTGAGGTTGAGACCGATCTGTTCCTCTCTTTTGCTCTCTCAACCCACTCAGGTACAGGCCACCCACAACAGGCTACAAAACTACAAACACAGGATCAAGTCTCCAGAACCGGATAGGCAGCCCCAGGCAAAGGCCTAGAACCACACACCTGGCAGGAACCTAACTCACTCCTGGGGCTGGAGTCTTCCAGGTGAAAACAAGGCGTCTGGACTCACGGTCCCTAAGGTTCTTTCCACTCTCTCAATAAAGATCCGAGATGCAGCTCAGCTCCTCCGGCCACCCAGAATCAAGTCACAGGAGAATGTGCTAAGCTGGCACAATTCTGGCAATTGTGACTGTCCTGAGGACTTTCAGTTACGAAATGTATGGGGCTGGGTTCACAGGTTGCTTACTGCTGATAGGTTGCATCAGTGTTCTACAAAAAATAGATTAAAACACTTATGATCTCACAGAAAATACTTAAAACGACAGAAAATAAAATGGTAACCCGCCTAAGGCACAGGAGGCAGTTCCCTTTTATCTTTGGAAATGAATTCACTCTCAATGGAAAACGCACTGGGGTTGCCATGTGAAGACAAGTTCTGGTGAGCCTGGGTGTCTAAGGCAGAGCATTGCACCCAGAGCACTGCAGCCATCCCTTGGCTTTTTACTCCCCACCCCCACATTTGGGGATTTTAAAACAAATGAAAGAAGGCATTATTTTAGCTTAAGGCATAAGCATAAGTCAGCCACATAAGAACAAAGAAGGTTTTATTATCACATTAAACGTCAGGGAGGAAATTTAGTGTCCTACACAATTAGGTTAGCATTTGCTCTTTGCAAGCGTCCAGGCCAGTATGTACAGTGTATATCTAAGGCAGAGGCAAAAATATTCCGCTAGTGAGAAGGTCAGGTCATTAAGGGAAAGAAGGAAAGTCCTTGGAAAAGGGGACAGAGTACACAGAGGGAAAAGTTCTCTGCATCTCAGTGGTCTGTGGGACATTTGCCCTCTCTGCCTATAAAGTGATTTAACATTAACCACGTTGCTCCGGCCTCAGAATACTATCTCTGGACAAAAACTCCTTTTTGAAGCTCCTGCCCCCCCCCCCCCCGCCCACACACACACACACACACACACACACCCAAATACACACCTCCAAATACACAAAAGAATTTGAAATATACTGCCCTAGGCCAGTGTCTTGGGCTTTTTGCCTAAGAAGTTTGCTTTCAGCCAGGAGGGAGGAGGAGGGACAGATTCTAACAACAACAGCTTGTACAGTGGACACCCCCTTGCAGTTGGCACACTTTCCCAACTAACAGTTCCAGCACTGAGCCTTGAGCCCATTCAAGAATTCCACCTCATGGGAAGTGTTTCCAATATAGTCATTTGATCTTTCAGCATTTGCAAGTGCACCTGCTAAGCAACAAGCCTGACAGCCATGGCACCAGCCCTTCCTGCCCATCTTTACCAGTGGTTATATGGCTATTTCAGACTTGGACGAGGCTGAGAGGCAAAGCACATAAAAACCCCCGCCAAACGCTTCTGCTGCTGCAGGAGGGCAGGTTCCGCCGGCAGGGTCGTCCTTGCTCCCCGCACCAACTTCCCTGTCACTTTTCCCCTGGAGCAGGTAGGAGGTTTTTGTTTTGTTCTCGGGCGTCCAAACGCCAGGGCTTACCTGGAGGTGGCTTCCTCCCCTCCCTGGCCATGGCTCTCGGCCACGGCCCGGTCCTTGCTGCTGTGGTGGTAGGCAGTGAGCACCACTCCCTGGGAGTTGGAGAGCCAGTTCATGGTGAGGGAAGGGGCATACTTTCTGCGATCCTGACACTGAGAAGGGGAATGAAGTTCCTGGCTCGCCGGGCAACTCCGTTCATTAGCATCGGCCAGCTCCTCCTCCCGCGGCCAGCGATTCACGGGAGGGGCGGGGCCTCCCACTGAAGGGCTGCCTGGCCCTCCAATGAGAAGAGCTGTGACTCAGTATTGTTTCAACGGGGCCATTCCCGTTTGAGTGGCTTCAGTTAAGGGTAGGGGTGGGGGTTTACTTGTAGCTTCCACCCAGGAGAAATTCAGATCTGATTAAGCTGCCAGGCTGGAGACTCCTCTCGTCAATTTAAGTACAAGCCGTCTTGGCTAGGAAACAATGAGTTATTGCAGAGTCTTTTTTTTTTTCCCCTTCCCAATTCCTGTTTCCATCTGATAATTTCTGCTACTTCATGTAACATGAGTAAGGGCATGCTTAACCCCTTCCCGTTCAGGGTTAAAATTAACTGCAGCCGAAACCAATGAACCGACTGCAAAGCTGTGTGATCACAGGTCACAAGGAAGTCTTTACCTCTTGTGTCTGGTTAAAAATGTTCTCATAAAAGTGATTATGTACCCTGCAATGTTGTCTTCTTTCACCTAAAAGCCAATGCCAAGTTGCAAAACACCCTTCAGAACCAAAAAGGGACATATCTCCACCAACACTTAAATGCTATTCCTGAGAATAAAACAAGAAGTTTGCATTTTTTAGCACCTATCTACCAGGCTCCCTCTGTGACAGAATTCAATGAACTCTCTTTCTGTCTTTATCTCTCTGTCAAACACATACCCTACAGCATAGATAATCATCACTGGTATTTTACCAAGTATGAGAAAAGAGAAGCTGAGGGACAAGTTAAGTAACTTGTCTGCTATAACACAGTCGTTTTGTGCCAGAAGCTGGATTTGGACAGAGTCTGGGCTAAATTCCACCCTTTTTAACCCGAACACTGTTCTTTATCTTCTAGATTAAGAAACAAGCTACAAAGTTATGAAAGATACACAAAATGCTTCTGTTCTTTCTCCCCTAAAAATATTCTACTCTCTTCTATATACCTACAAGTCTAAATTGAAGTGGGTTTTTGGTTAATGTTGAACTTTATGGTCTATCAAAAATTCCTTATGAACAACTTTTCAAATTCATCATTCCATAAGCATTTCATTTACACTCTTTTCATTATTTAAAATGATCATGATAACTAATTATTTTATATATACTTTCCCACACTTAAAGTATTTAAATTTATCTTTTAATCCTATCTTTCATAGGGAACTGTCATTTACAACAGTCTTCTTTAAAAAAAATCTTATTATGGCTTCCTTCCTCGCCCTCCACAGTCAGTCATTCAATTTTGCAGTCCACCTCCTTAGGGCTCCACCTGCTGCCTCTTTTCTTTCCCCATCGCCCAAGCCCCTCCACACGGGATTAAGTCCTAGCTCCAATCTTACAACCGCTCTTTTGGTTCATTTCTTTGCCTTTTCCTCTAAATTATTTTGTACATTACCACACCTTAATGACGTCTCTCCTTGCTTAAAATCTTTTACTGGCTCCTCATCGCTGACAGAACCAGTTCCGAACTTGAGTAGACCACTGAACATCCTTGCTACCTTACCCACTCGTCTTTCCGTCACATCTGTCAAATACCATTCCTGCTGGGTCCCCTGACATTCTTCTCTCTTCTCTTCCACATCTAACTGAATCCTTTGACTCCATGGGCCTTCAGTGAATGTCGGCTGGATGAAGAATTGAATGGCTTTAATGTGTCCTTCGAAAGTACACTAAATTTTAAAATTAAGATTGGTAATATTAGACAAGTGGTTTCCATGCGCATACCAGTGTGTGGCCTTATGATGAGTACATAACAGTGTGTGAACCTATGATGATTATATGTTCACCAGTTCAGGCAAAATGAAAAATACAGGAAGAGGGGCAAAAGGTAAGCTGATTGGAGTGTATAAGTTATGTCTTTTTAATGTTCTTATGTGGAAAATGATTACTGATTTGCAATGCAAAAATACAGGAATTCCCTACCTTACATAATTATCGGCGGTAGGCCACACACTCTACATCTTGGAAATTCTTTCCTTTCTTCGTCTCTCCATCCCACTCCTCTTTTTTCCTTACTTCTTGGACCTTTTTGTCTTCATCCTTTATTTTTCTTCTGTTTTTTTTTTTTTCTTCCTCCTTTGCTATATTCTCAGCTATGAGCATTGCCAACTCTAATGAGACAATTCATGGTAAAGGGAGATTTTCTCCAGTGTTACCCAAAATTATTATTAAGTTATATCTTTGCCTATTGATACTCTCTCCACTTGTTAAATAACAAAGAAATCACCATATGCAGATTGAAATGTAACTTTTTTACAGGTCAAAATAATTTGGGAGTTTGCAGTGACCATGCTTTTTAATATTTGAGGCAGAAAATAAGATGTGGTATAAATTGATTTGCATAGCAGAGTTCATAAAATTTGAATCCTACTAATTTAACTTTCAGGTACATGGAAATCCTCTGGACTTCTCCTTTCCTCCCCCTAAGCAAGCCCTGTTTTTACTGGTCTGAAGGTATGACCTGTCACAGGCAGGCAGCTAGTAGCATGGTGCCCTGGTGTACATAGCCCAATATATAGGCTCAAGTACATTAAGAATGGTTTTCAGAATTTTCTTATGACCATTATGGGAGCAAACTTTATTAGCAATATGCTTCCTTGAAAGGCTCTTCTTTTCCATATTCCAAGCCCTACCAAGATTTAGCTAGAGTTCATCGCTTAGACCACACTACCCTTACTCATAGAGACACTTTTTTTCTCAAGTACTCCCTTTAGCCCTGGCCGGTTTGGCTCAGCGGTTAGAGCGTCAACCTGCGGTCCACAAAGACCTGTGTTCGGTTCCCGCTAAGGGCATTCACCTTGGCTGCAGTTTGTCCCCGGCCCTGCTTGGGTCGTGTGGGTGGCGGCCACTCGATGTGTCCCTTTCACATCGATGTTTCTCTTTCTCTCTTCCTCTCTCTCCTTCCCGCTCTATCTGAATAAAAAATGGAAAAATGTCCTCGGGTGAGGATAAAAATAAATAAATTAAAAATAAAGTGCTCCCTTTCGCAACCACCATAAACAAACACCGAGAACCTAATGTCCTTGAAGATGTTCATGTTCCAGGCTCTTAACTGCATGCCAAACACTTTCCTGTCATGCAACATCTTACAAAGAAATAAGATAACATCAAGAAGCTTAAACATTCGTTTCATTCATTCCTCTTAAATGGAGTGTACTGGATGACACAAACAGGAAGAAGGAAGCTATAATTTATATACCCAAACAGGTTATTAAAAATAGAGTGGAGATAGTACTGCAACCTCAGACAATTTGACAACTATATTTAAAAAATAATGGGAAAAACTGTAGTAGTATCAAAAAAGGTTATTAACTGGTTTTTATATTCTGACTTAGGAAGCTATTTAGTAATAGAGAATTATATTTTCAGAGTACCATAATTACAGTGGAGTCAACACATTTATCAACATTTTGCTTAATCAGTTTCTGTCACTTTAAATGGAATTGACTAAGGAGAATGTGGACACCTCAGACAAACTCTATAAGGTGACTAGAAGCCTGTATAGGGCCATGAGGCCACGTGAAAGCTGACCTTTCTACTGGCAAAGTTAAATTCAATTTATAATAATATATTATAATAAGAACTTGAATAGATTAATCATCAACTGTGAAGTTAAATTTTACATAGGTGATAAAACCTAGAGTTATAGAATAGCACCGACCAATGAAGAGGGAGTGTTCTAGTATTCCCTATTTGATGAATTATCAAGGCTTTTTATGAATAATTCTTGTAAGCTTGCAAGCAAGCCAATTATGTACTGGGGAACTATGACTGAAAATTATTCCATACACAGAATCTAAACCTACTTTCTTGGAAACGGCATCATTGTTCTTAATTCTGCCTCTGGAGCAACAAGGAAAAAACCTTTTTCCTCTCTCCAGATAATTCTAAAAAATTCTGCATTATTCTCAAAGTTTTTTTTTAAACTGGTCCTCAAAAGAGAAAGTATTTGGCATGCTTGGATAATTTATCACTTCTGTTGCCAGAGGCTAATTTAGGCTTCTTGGCAAATATCTAGTAAAGATCTTTCTTACAGTTAAAGAGTTTACTACCAGTGAGTAATAATGGCCAATATTTTACTCTTTGCTACACGTGGTATGCACAGTCTCTCATTTAATTGCCACAACAACCCTGAGAGATATTACAATTACACCCACTTCAGAGACAAGGAATGTGAGGTCACCCAGCTAGTAGGTGGCAGAACCAGGACATGTAAACCTGGATTAATATGACCATTGAGCCTGAGTTCTTAAATATTAAAGGGTACAGCTGTCGCCCAGCTGGTGTGGCTCAGTGGTTGAGCATTGACCCATGCACCAAGAGGTCACCAGTTCGATTCCTGATCAGGGCACATGCCCAGTTTGTGGGCCTGATCCCCAGTTGGGGGCAAGTAAGAGGTGGCCAATCAATGTTCTCTCTCATCGATGTTTCTATCTCTCTCTCCCTCTCCCTTTCTCTCTCTAAACTCAATAAAGAAAAAAAAATTTAAGGGTATAGCTGTCTTGGAACTGACGCTATTTTGTTTATGGAAAAAATCCATATGAATATTTAATGAAGTAAAATAATCTACAGCAAATATAAAGTGTATAACCAAATGGGATATTGATATAAATGCAGTGCTATGTAGATTAACATTCAGACAGTCACAAACACATTAGTTTCTTTCCTGGTATGTTGAAACTTCTTTTTTATGTCATATCAACTAGGGGAGTGTGGCATAGCACGCATACAACTGTATAGGTCATCATCATTATGCCATTGTGTCTAAATTGTTCTTGCTGATAGAAATAAAAGTATTCTGGCCATTAGGATTATAAACATTCTCTTTAAAAAATATCCCAGGCAAAGACAGATCTAGGTTTATGAACTCTGAAGCATATAGAATTTCAGACACGGGGCCTTCGAAAGGAGCTGGTAAGAGCAAGACTCTGAAGGTTTAATTTCATTTAGCTTCATGCTAAACCCACCTCTTATATCACAATAAACCTATAT